GCCCCCCGTGGCCCCACCGCCCCCGCGGGCCATGGGAAGCCGCTGAAAGCCGCAGTGCTGAGAATGGGCAACCGCACATGGGAGGGCTGCCACGTGGACTCCCGCATGGACCACCTCTTCCCGCCCTCCCTCTACATCTTCGTCATCGGCGTGGGGCTGCCCACCAACTGCCTGGCGCTGTGGGCCGCCTACCGCCAGGTGCGGCAGCGCAACGAGCTGGGCGTGTACCTGATGAACCTCAGCGTGGCCGACCTGCTGTACATCTGCACGCTGCCGCTCTGGGTCGACTACTTCCTGCACCACGACAACTGGATCCACGGCCCGGGCTCCTGCAAGCTCTTCGGCTTCATCTTCTACACCAACATCTACATCAGCATCGCCTTCCTGTGCTGCATCTCGGTGGACCGCTACCTGGCCGTGGCCCACCCGCTGCGGTTCGCCCGCCTGCGCCGCGTCAAGACGGCCGTGGCCGTGAGCTCCGTGGTCTGGGCCACGGAGCTGGGCGCCAACTCGGCGCCCCTGTTCCATGACGAGCTCTTCCGCGATCGCTACAACCACACCTTCTGCTTCGAGAAGTTCCCCATGGAGGGCTGGGTGGCCTGGATGAACCTCTACCGCGTCTTCGTGGGCTTCCTGTTCCCGTGGGCCCTCATGCTGCTCTCCTACCGTGGGATCCTGCGCGCCGTGCGCGGCAGCGTGTCCACCGAGCGCCAGGAGAAGACCAAGATCAAGCGGCTGGCCCTCAGCCTCATCGCCATCGTGCTGGTCTGCTTTGCGCCCTACCACGTGCTCCTGCTGTCCCGCAGCGCCGTCTACCTGGGCCGCCCCTGGGACTGCGGCTTCGAGGAGCGCGTGTTCTCCGCCTACCACAGCTCGCTGGCCTTCACCAGCCTCAACTGCGTGGCCGACCCCATCCTCTACTGCCTGGTCAACGAGGGCACGCGCAGTGACGTGGCCAAGGCCCTGCACAACCTGCTCCACTTCCTGGCCAGTGACAAGCCCCAGGAGATGGCCAACGCCTCCATCACCCTGGAGACCCCGCTCACTTCCAAGAGGAACAACGTGGCCAAGACCACGGCGGCCGGCTGGGTGGCAGCGCCTTCCTCCCAGGAGGACCAGGTGCAGCTGAAGATGCTGCCGCCACCGGCACAGTGAACCCTCAGATCGCCGAGAGACCCCGTCTCCCAGAATCACATCCCACGCTCCCTGCGCTCTTGGTCTGGTGTGTGCAAATTGTACATAAATAAGGCTGTGTAACTATTCATAAGAATATAAGAAAATAGGAAAACAGCAAGGTTGGTGTGTCGTTGGTCAGTTGTCATCCTCTACCATGACCCCTTAACAATTCAGTTGAGCGGTGCCTCCCAGTTTACTGGGCAGTGTTAGCGACATAGTGGTGACAAATGACAGACCTGGCCCTGCCCTCCCGGGCTCCCACTGCAGTGGTGGAGACAGATCTGTCCCTGGACAGTGATGGCCCAGAGTGGGCAGGGCTCAGACAGGAGAGGCCAGGGTCTGGGGGAACCCAAAAGGGCATCTGACCCAGTCTGGGGGGGCTTCCTGGAGGAAAGGACCAGTAAATTAAGTTTCCAGAGGTAAAGACAAAAAGAAAGGTTATTTCCAACGTGGGGGTAAAAGACAGTGACTCAAGGGGAAGGTGGAAGNGGGACCAGTAAATTAAGTTTCCAGAGGTAAAGACAAAAAGAAAGGTTAAGATTATTTCCAACGTGGGGGTAAAAGACAGTGACTCAAGGGGAAGGTGGAAGTAGAAATTCTCTGAGCGTGGAGTGATCAGCTCTCTGGAAGCCCTGTCATGTAGGGGAGAGTGAGCAGGACAGAGCAATTGTGAGTTTTTAGATAAACAGCATCCTCCAAGTCAGGACTGAGGAAGAAGAGGGAGAATATCCAAAGCCAAGTGAAGGGCAATCGAGGCCGACTGGCAGGAGGAGTTATTTAGTCAACAGATTTACTTGTACTTAAAATCTACTCTCTGCAGGCTGGAGCTGGGGACACAAGGGTGACCAAGACAGCCCAGGCTCCACCATTACGGAGCTCCCAGTAAATGAGTAAATCAAAATAGATATAATGTTTGGAATTGATAAGTATATTGGGTAAAAATGAAGCCGAAGGGACAGAGAGTGACATGGAGTCTGGTCTAGATGAGGTCAGGGGACGGCTCACTGAGAAGTTGGCATTTGAGCAAAGACCTGAAGGAGGTGAGGAGGTGCCCTGTGGCTGTCAGGGGGAAGGGCATTGCAGGCAAGTATCAAGCCCTGGAGGAAGAGCGCGCCTGAATTTAAGGCACAGGAAATACAGTGGTGTGACTAGAGGAGACGGAGGGGGACAGGAATGGGAGTGAGACTGGCGAGGGGACAGAGGCCCATCTTCAGGGTTTCAAAGGCCTGGTGAGGATTTTGCCTTTTACTCTGAGATAAATGGGAGCCACAAGAGGAGGGATGTGATTTGACTTAAATGTTAACAGCATCCATCTGATTGCTGGGTGGGGACCAGGATATGGGAAGTGAGGGCAGAAGCCGGGAGCCCGTGAATCGGTGGATTAGTCCAGGTGGGAGATGCTGGCAGCTGCACCCAGGTGGGTGGTGGGGCGAGGGAGGAACAGTGGTGAGTTTTGAGGTTTGCTTTGAAGGAATACGATGATGGAGGAAGCACAAGGGCCTGTGGGATTTTGTAGCATGAGCCTCTTGCCCACTCTGGGAAAACAGTGACTGAGAGCCTGAGCCGGAAGGGCCTCTGGGAATGATCCCAGGCCCTATTACGGGGCGGTCACTGGATAGGCCAAGAGATTAGCCCAGGGTTGCACAGCCGGTGAGTCAGCCTGGGGCCATCCTAGGCTCCCTCTCCCTTCCCTGTCTCTGCCTCTGTTCCCACGACCCAGAGTGGCCAAGGCTGCCTCCTCTGACTGGTGTCGCCCTCCCTCCCCTAGCTCTCAGAGGTCACCAGGAATGGCCCTCCTTTCATAAGCAGGCTGGAGAACAGGAGGAAGCCCCCAACTCTGGACAGGCCTCGCCCCTTCTGGTCACCCTTCTGGTGTGTAACAGGCTTCAAGCTCCTGATGAGATGTGACAATACCCCATATCTCTCTACACACATTCTTGTCCCAGAAGTTCCCAGAAGAGGTTCCTCGAAACCCTTCTCAGAGAAAGGAAGAGGAGGGAGGAAGGGAATGAGAAAAAAAGAACTTAATGAAGAAAATGGCTTTGCAGGAGGGAGTTTACTGAGATGCAGGAAGTCGGGGCTTTGGTGTTGGGGGGAGAGAAAAGAGGGAGGCCTGGGATCTGGGAGCCTTAGTAATTTTCCCATCCTGTCTCACCACCATAAAGCTGTTGGGATGGAGCTGGAGGGGGCCAGGTATTTTGAACACAGCCCCCTCAGAGAATGGGGTGAAAGCCTACACATTACTCCTCCACCAACTGCTCACTCCCATTCAATAAATATTTATTGAGCACCTACTACATGCCAGGCACTGTTCTAGGAGCTGAGGAAACAGCAGTGAATTATACAGAAAAAAGTCATGCACAAGTTTGGAAGTTTCCTAATCCCATCATGGGGGCCCTTAGTCTCCCCAGTAGGTCCTTGGCCCTAGGCTAACACCTCTAGGGATCAGGAGAAGACTCTGGGCTGGAACTCAAGAAATCCTAGCCTCAGCTCCACCTGATGACCCTTGGAACACTGGATAAATCCTTTTCATTCTCTGGCCTTAGTTGGCCAGTCTGCAAAATGGGGAGGGGGTTGGTTCCAAGTGGATATGGACCTTGAATAGGCCCCAAGCTCCCTCACACTTTTAGGCTAGAAGGGACTCCAGAGAAGGGTTGTTTTTATGGTCTTGTCATTCTTAATACATAATTTAGACTATCCGCATTCACACATGCCAGTGCTATCGTTATTACAGATGAAGACACAGAGGTCCATCAGTGCCTGGGACATGACAAAGGATGTTCAGGGAGTCAGAGTGGATATCAAAGCAAGCCCAGGGTCTCCTGACTCTGTGTCCTGAACCTTTGTTTCCTCTTACACACAGTTTCTCTGCTCCTGTCTCCCTCTGCCTCTCCTAGAATCTCTCAATTACCCATCAGCACTCCACCATCCAGGAATTTCTCTCAACCCCTTCCTGACCTTGTTTATATGATTTTGCTCCCTGCTGGGTAAGCGAGGACAGTCTGAGACATGTCCTTAAACTCCTTCCTGAGCCAGCTCCCTGGGGACCCTCGCCTCGCAATGGAGGCAGTGGGGCTGCTTGAGATGGGTATGGTTTTATTGGCTAAAATGCTGGGCTATCAACTTCTGCTGGCCAGCCCCCTGCCCCTCTCTGAGCCTGTTTGTCAGTTACTTGGGAAAGGGTTGGATTAGCTGCTTCTGGAGATGAAATGCACCCTCAAGCTAGAGTTAGCAATAATGATGCTAATACCTGTATAAGGGCTGTTTATTGAGTGCTTACTATGTGACTGGCACCGTTCTAAGCACTTAACATAGTTCACTGTTTTTACATTCAAGATGTGCATGCAAACTTCACAACAACCCAATAAGTGTTATCATGATCCACGTTTTGTAGACTAGAATACTGATGCCCAGAGAGGTTAAGTCACCCGCGTAATATCACACAGCAAATGACTGACGGAACTGGAATCACAAACCAGGTCGGTATGACTACATAGCCCGTTTCCTCTTAATTAACCTGCTGGGTAGGTGTATTTGGGGTTCATTAGCCCTAATTAGGACTAACTGAAAGCTTCATTTGGGCAGATCGGCCACCTAAGTACGTAACGTCACGAAAAGGCGTGGCGACAACAGCCTGTGGGGACGTGGGAACAAACCCACGCTCCGGGTAGCGGCCGTTTAACCGCACCACCCTCTGACGGCCTCACTTCCGCCGTATATTTGTATATTCAGCGAAGGGACGTCGGGACGTCAGCGCGACGAGGTGACGTCAGGGAGCGCCCCTGCAGTCCGCGCCAAGTGTACGTAGGTACGCAAGCACGCACGACGACGGGCGGGCGGGGGAGGAGGCAGAGATTGGAGGCGCCCCGCCCAGTCGGCCGAGTTACGCGTCCCTCGTGCGACCGCCAAGATGGTGGTAGGCGCGTTCCCTATGGCGAAGCTGCTGTACTTGGGCATCCGTCAGGTCAGCAAGCCTCTTGCCAACCGCATTAAAGCGGCCGCCCGCCGAAGCGAGTTCTTCAAGACCTATGTCTGCCTCCCGCCGGCTCAACGTGAGTCTGACCCCACGTCCCTCCAACCTTTCCATTCTCCAACCCCTCTCAGGTGGTTGCTCAGGGGATGGACTTCTGTTCACGACCAGTCACAGCCCGAACCGGCAAAGTCTTGCAGCCAATAGGGAGGGTCTCTGGGGATAAGGGCGTGTGCTTAATCCAATTGCAAGAACGGGGGTGGGTTAAGGGGCGGGGACAGGGTGCTAGCTCCCGAGTTGAAAATGCTAGCCAATAGAGGAAGAGAGCGCGTAGAGACTGACGTCTAGGCGAGCCAATAGTGTGAGACGAGAGTAATTTGGGCCGGGCATTCCTGGGCTGGGAGGAGGTAGGGGCAAGCCGAGGAGGGACTAGGCGGAGTCATTTGCCGGGCATTCCTTAGGCGCCGAGGCTTCTAAAACTCCTTGCTGTGCCTCAGTTTTCCTCCCGTCCTGGGAGGTGAAAGGTGCTTGTATATCCTCCATTTAGGATGTCGGTTTGCCCCAGTTAATATTCCGGGAAATAAGACTGGCTTAGAAGCGTGTCTCCGGGCGAAGTGAAGTTGGGGTCTGGGGAGGTGGCCTGGGAATCTGGCAAAGAGTAATTTTAACCAGAGTGAACACTCATCCATCTTTTCATTAACCCACTTATACGCCGTGTTTGTTCGTCCATTCATTCAGGAGTCAGACCGTGCTGGCTTTTTGCTAGGTCCTGGGTGAGACACTCATGACCCTTCATTGTGAACCCGGAGTGGTGGTGGTGGTGGGGGGGCGGTGGAGCTCAGAGAGGCCACCTGACCCGGACATGGTGCCAATAAGGCTGTCTAGAGGAGGGCAGCCCGAGCTGAGATCTAAAGGGCATAGTAAACACTCAAAATATAAGCTAGTTTATAAAGAACTATATGCTATAGGTCTGTGGGAGCACAGAATAAGGAAATTAATGTAATTCGTTGGCTCAAGGAATCACTATTCATCCATCCGTCCATCCATTTAGCTCTGTGCCTGGCCTTGTGCTGGGCAGTGTTTGTGAAACAGCAGGGACCAAGTCAGCCCAGTCTGTGCCCTCAAGAAGTTCACAGTTCAGGGACCGACCCATTCTGCAAGAGTGATCACCAGAGTGGGCAGAGCTGGAATAGGATTCCCCACTGGACTCCTG